ATAAAACTTCAGAACCTATGTAAATGTTAGCTGTACATAGAAGCCCACCTGTAATTCCAACCTCAGAAGGTGGGCACAGAGAGTCCCTAGAGCAAGCAGCTAGAAGACAAGCCATGTCAGCAAGCTCTGTGAACAGATGGGGGCAAGACAGTCAACAAAAACAATGAATGAAGGGGCCATAACGAAACTCATTGATTTCTATGCTAATTTTGTGTGTGTGTGTGTGTGTGTGTGTGTGTGTGTGTGTGTGTACGTACGCGTGCGCGCAAATGTCTGTATATGCGTTGCATGCATGAAGTACCCATGGAATCCAGAAGAGGGAATCAGACTCCTCCAAACTAGAGCTACAGATAATTGCTAACTGCCTGATACAGGTGCTGGGAACTGAATCCAGGTCATTTGGAAGAGCAACATGCACTCAGCCACTTCCCCATCTCTCCAGCCTCCTGTATGCTAACTTTAAAACTCATACAACTACTTAAAATAAGTTTTTGAAGTTATTAACTGTGTGTGTGTGTGTGCGTGTGCGTGCACACACACTCACACTCCACAGCACACATGTGGAGGTTCTCTCCCATCATCCTGTGGGTCCTGGGGACTGAACCCAGGACATCAGGCTTGTCTGAAATCACCTTTACCCACTGAGCCATCTCATCAGTCTCAGTGAGAATTTTTGTAAAAAATCATTTCTTAAACCACTGGCTGTGCATATGTGGATTGATGTAGGATAACCTGCCAGAGAACTTACCAGTGGCTACACTCTCAAAGAAAAAATAACCCCCATCACCTATTAACTGCAAATAGTTCCTCAGCTTGCAGGTGGGGCCTTCATAGCCATCCATGCTGGAAACTTACTGACTTGAGCTTTGTGTAGGATGTTTTTAAATCTTTTCAATTTTTTCTATTTCAAAAATCAATTATCACTTATAGCACATTATGTATAGATGCCACACTATATATTCATGTTTGACTAAGATGTCCATCATCAACTGAGGGATATTCTGCCCACCCTGCCACCCACCACCCCCACACACTATCACCACCCTACAAATTTAAAAACATTTCAACCCTTTGCTGCCCAGTGTCTTTTTGAGCTCACCGTTGTGTGTGACCATCACTGCTAGCTACTTCCTACACTTTTATATCAGCCAAATAGGTAATTCGAGAGAGCTGGTCAGATGACCCAGCAGGTAAAAAGATCTACTGCCAAGACCAAAAACCTGAGTTCAAACTCTGTGACCCCTAAGGTAAAAGGAGAGAGCACACTCTAGAAAGTTCTCCTGACCTCCACAATGGTGCTATGACATGTGCACACCAACACACAAATGCATACAATTAAAAGTGTAATAGAAAAATATTTAACAAGAATGCTACATCCAGTGAACAAGTTATTCCAAATTTCTCCTCTAGCCCCTGGCAACCATTAATTGGCATCTATGCATCTAACTATTAAAAAAAATCTGTCTTGCTGGTTCTATAAGCTTCTGATGAGCAGAAACTGCAAGACTAATAAAATCTTACAATGTATACTACCCACTCAGTGAAGAATCTGGCCCTTAATGTCAACCATACTGATGTTAAAACCT